ACATGCTTAAGAAACATTTTTTATTATTATCAATGTTGAAAAAAGTTATATATATATATATATATATATATACATATATATATATATATATTCTTTGATTAATATACATTTAAAAGAACAGCAAGTATTTAAAATTGTACTCTTTTTTTTTACATATATGAATATAAAACCATTAATACACAGGTCTGTAAGTCTGAGAACAATTTTTTTTTACAATTGGAGTGAAAAGTTGCCTAAAATATTTTGTACCCTCTCTCTCTGGATCTCACTCCTCAGGGACGAGATTTTGATCTTAATGGCATCCAGCTCCTCATTTGCGGTTGTGTACTCTGAGGGGCATGTTAGGAGAGTTCAGCAGCAGTAGCGATTCCTGTTCCGACAGCTTCTTTTTCAGCCTCTCCATGACCTTTGACCCTTTGTTGGCCCTCTGTTGAGGCAAGAAGCAAAAAGTAATCTTAAAATCTAGTGAGCTGTCTCGTGAACTTCTGAATGCATGTATGTTGCCCAAAAAATTATGTCCAGATCAGAATGTTTTGAGACACAGCTTTTTACAGTCAAAAATACACTATTTCAAAGGTTTTTTTGTTCAAAAATGTAGGACTGGTAAGATTTTTCTATGTATTTAAAAATCTCATGCTCACCAAGGCTGAATTTATTTGATCAAAAACTGTAAAAACAATAATATTGTGAAATATTATTACAATTTAAAATAACAGTTATTTAAAATTGTACTCTTTTTTTTTACATATATGAATATAAAACCATTAATACACAGGTCTGTAAGTCTGAGAACAATTTTTTTTTACAATTGGAGTGAAAAGTTGCCTAAAATATTTTGTACCCTCTCTCTCTGGATCTCACTAGTCAGGGACGAGATTTTGATCTTAATGGCATCCAGCTCCTCATCAGGGGCTTGTGGGATAGGCAGGTGCTCTGACTCTTCTGCCGTTTGGAAGGTGAGGTCTGAGAGAGGAATGTACCACTTGGAGTCATACTGCTGGCTTTTCCTGCAGACAGACAGCACAAGGGGGAAATGGGGTGATGGGGAAAATAATTTAATATACAGGCAAAAATACATCCTGAAATCTGATTATAGAGCACTGATGTTGGTGCAGACTGGGCCCACAGGTCTGAAGAGCCAGGATGTTAGGCTCAGGTTGTGAAAATAATACAAGTGTATCTGACTCAACAATACTTATATGGTAAATGAAGTGGTCCATTTTTAAAAATAGGAAGAGAGTGAGATGAAAGAGCAGACAGAATTAAGGAAAGATAGAAATGAAAGGAGAAGATGGGAGAGAGAAAACAAAGAGATTTTCCTTACCCTCCAATCTGCTTCTTCAGTTTGGCACAGAGCAGGAGGTCAGTGAAGAGAAAAACATGGCGTAGCTTCCGAGCCCCTTCCACAAGCTCCACCATGAAGCTGTCCTTCAACAGCTGACGGTTCTGTCATACACAAAAACAATGTAGACAAATTTCAATTCAGACATAGCTTCTCTCTCTCTCTATCTCTCTCTCTCCATACACACACACACAACTTTAAAAGTAAAAGTTTGGGGTTGGAATTATTAAAATAACTGTTTTCTGTTTTTAAATGTAATTCATTCCTGTGATGGCAAAGCTGAATTTTCAGCCTTTTCCAGTCTTTAGTTTCACATGATCCTTCAGAAATCATTCTAATATGCTAATTTGTTGCTCAGGAAACATTTCTTATTATTATCAGTGTAGAAAACAGTGCTGCTTAATCTTTTTTTGGAAACTGCTACTTTTTTCCATATTCTTTGATGAGTAGAAGGTTTAAAAAAAACAGATTTTTTTGTAACCATGTAAACTATCATTCTTGCTCAGTTGAATTGTTGATGAATAAAAGAATACATTTCAAATATTTATACACACACAAAGTTCAAAATATAATGTAATGCTACAGTAATACTGTCAAATATAACTGAACAATTTTTGATGAGAAGTGCCACTAGGGGGCAGTCCCACTCTATTTCCAAAAACATGGCATCAACCGTCTCAGAAAAGAGCAGTGAGCTGGTGTTGATGAGTCTTCTTTGTGTTTATGAAATGAGAAAATTGGGAGGACATTTTGAAACAGGTAACTCCGTCCACAGATCATATGCTAAGTTATAATCCCGCGAGCCTAAGCAGCGGTTAACGTGTGAAAACACACATATCCGCATAACACAGCCCCTGGCCACACATGTCACACATCAGTGCTCCCACAGCAACACGTCACCTCTGCAGTGGGAAAACAAAAGATGATATCACAAGCATCTCATCCAATGAGATGCTCTAACCTGGCTCCACTCACCTCCACATTCAAAGACAACTCATTTTTGATGCAACAACATCACTGCCGTTGACTCACCCAAAAATGTATCCCTGGACGCTTGAGTGAATTTCCCAGCATTGTGTGTGTGTGTGTGTGTGATGTGCTGTCTGCAGCTGGGGACACAGAAGAGATGGAAGAGTCACCGCATACTCATTCCAAAACTCCCAGCATGCCAGCCATGTTGTGCGTCATTGCATTTCCAGAACAAAGTGTAATGGCTTGATTTCAGCTTATGGCACCGCCAAAAATTTGATTCTTATTCCACATGGCTCCATTTTCAGCATACAGAAGTGCAGTGGCAGAGAAAAGATCCTCTTTCCACATCTCTACCAACAGGAAGAGCAATTACATCATTTAGTCAATGCAAACAGTTCAATCAACGGTTAACGGTGCCTCTTTCTCCTCAGCTCAGCCGTTTTGGCAGTAATTAATGTGCGGGGTCTTGTGTAAGTAGATGGTTACTGTCTTAAAATAGGATAGATGAATGCAGTAGTGAATGCAGAGACTCAAAGAGCTGTTTGTGCTCAAAAGATCGCACTCAGCAATACTGAAACGGGATCCTGGGAAACACAATGTTCCCAAATGCTCCCACACCACCAAGATTATATTGGTCCTGTTTCAAAGGGGAATCATGCAGGAAGCACACACCACTTCCAAAGAGGTTATCTAAAACTTGTTTGCTGAACTCTTCATAAGAGAAAAGAAGGGAGGGCAACATGTTTACAGAAAACAATAGTGCCTAGTGACAACTGCGAGTGAAGGAACTTTCGCAGATCTCACTTTGCCACAAGCTATTAATCAAAGGGAAGATGAGGCACTCTGTACATATTTATCATTCTTGTCCCACTGGTAATTCACTCAGCCCTCCAGGGGTTGGTATAAACAGCAGAGAGCTTTATTCTAGGGATATTCTGTGGCCATATATTTTTATATAATGACCACTAAACTGTATAATTGACCATTGATCAGTTATTTAAAAAAAATATATATAGCCAATAACAATGAGCAGTAATTCTTTTTATTTTATGGCAGGAAACAAAAAAATATATAAAATATATAAATAAATCACTAAAAAATAAAATTAATCATTTTAAATGCTACAAGGTAATTTAGGCATCACAACATTACAATGCACAGTATGAAAAATAGATATTCATATTGAGGTTAGCTAAAGATTACATTTAATTTAAAAGCATTATTGAATGACTTGGGTTTTTAAAAATGTGCTTTAAGTGAGCGTTAGGTAGTAATCTAATAGTAAAAAAATATTCTAATTATTATTGTGAAAAATATATTATATTATATTATATATTGTGAAAAATTATATTATATTATAGATTGTGAAAAATATATAATTACTATTGTGAAAAATATGTAATTTATAAAAAATATATAATCACGGTAAAAATAATTATTGGTATTTGTTATTTCATTATTATTATTATTTTGATGTTTGTGTGTATTATTTTATTTTATTTGCACAGAGGTAGTGCAAAAATATTATCTTAAACTCTAAAGGCTAAAACATAGAGTGCACAAAGATCACTGTACCTTTAAAAGGCTACTGAGCTGTTAGCTTTACGTTATAAGCTGTTCCTTCCCTTATACTTTCTATCCAACAATCAACAACACAATAAAACATGCACCCAGCAGCAGACACTAAACTGTGTTTCTTTCAAAGAGCACTATATATCAGCATTTACATGACTGGCATTTCCAGAACAATCTCACTGTAGGCGAAATGCAAAACCTCTCTTCCTCTCTCTTTCTTCTTCACCCTGCAAGAC